AGCGAAACTCCGTCTCAAAAAAAAAAAAAAAAAAAAAAGTCACTATTCATTTGGCATTCTCAATGTGAATCCAGCGCTGGAGCTGACACGCCACATCATCGGAACCTCAGAACCACCTGGGGAGAGGGTACTAGTATTTTCCTCATTTGAAAAACTGAGGCTCGGGATTTTCCCCAGGCTAAGCCTACAGGGCAACCTCCGGCAGACAGAGGGTTGGGAACAGGCTTTTGTTGTGTTATTGGCTTCCTCACCAGGCTGGAAATGTGCTGAGGGCAGGGACACAGTGTTCCAGCCCCTAACATGGAGTGGACACATAGCAGTGCCCAGGAAAAGTTGTGCCCAGCACCCCATTTCACAGAAGAGAAAGCCACATCCCGAGAGACCTGAGGTTTTAGGGCCAGGGAAGCCTGAACTGGGCCTGTCAGCCATGCCGGGACTGGCTGATGGGGAGAGCCTGTTTGGCAGAGCCTCCCAGCTCAGCTGTTTCCTCCTGTTTCTACAGGTCTGCAGGGAACTGGCCAGGCAAGGGGGCAGGCCTGTTTCTCCTGGTGGTTGGTGCTTTGCAGCTTCAGCGGGAGCCGAGACTAAGGACAATTGGGAGCTGGAATCCCCAGGTAGGACTGAGCTCTCTTAGGCAGATGGACGGTGTACAGGTGTGGCCTTCCTCTCTGGCCTCCTTGTCTTCTGCTGTGACACTGGATAGGGGTTGGGCATGCATGCAGTCATTGATCTGGTTGTGGGCCCTGTGTACTCTGTCTATGAGGGGCTCTCTACCCGTGTGGAACTTCCTGCCTGGAACCTGGCTCTGACCCAGGAATGCTCTGGCCTTGGAGCTCAGAGGCCTGGGGCCTACCGTTAATTTGGGGCAAAAAGTAGTAACACTTTTTTGGTCAGTTAGAGAGAGGGTGGCTTGTGGGCAGAGGGTTGAGGGTGGATGTATCAGCTTTTCCATGACCCTGTATCTGCCTCAAGCTGTCCTCATCATCACACAAGAACACTGAGATTTCCCTGTGGGCCCCACAGTGGGCTGGACACTACACTGGGGATGCAACGGGGTCTCCAGCTCCAGGTATAGCTGTGCTCTCTTCCACACCCCAGGCCCCTCCATTTTCCCAGTTTCTCTGGAGCCCGAGTAGGGCTCAGTGCCTCTCTCCAGCTTCCAGATTCAAGGGGAGCTAGGCAGAGTCTGGAATAATGCCGGGAAGGCTGCAGTCTCTCTGAAGCCCCTCAGAAAGCTAGAAATTCCTTGTTTTGTGGCAATCCTTGCTTCCTCCAGCCCCATTACCGTGAAAACATTGCTGTAGGTGACTCCACACTCACTCCAGGCTGGTGACTGGGTGTCCGGGCCCCAGTGGGCAGGGTTCTGGCAGTGGGTATGGGTGCTAATGAAGCTGCAGCCTGCGAGTGACAGTGGGGGGGATAGTCAAGATGGTCTTTCCTCCAGAAGTTCTTCCTGATCAGACCCCTGCAGCCAACCCACCTGGCTGTCATGCACCGATAGGTCTGTGAGTAGGGCCATAAAGACTTATCCCTAAACCTGGTGTGGAGGAAGTGAAGTGCATTTGGCTGTGTGGGGGCCTCTGCCACCTGAGTTCTGAAGAGCCAGCTCTTCGCTGTCACTTAGCCTTGTTTTCTAAGGAGCTTGATTAGTTTTGGAGCCAGCCCACTGTAAACCCTCAGACATCGCCTGCTAGCTGCACAGACATACGCGTGCTCACACAGGGATATGGCAAGCCAGGCTGCAGTGGGCACGCACACCCACAGACTCATGAGTTCCTGTACGTGCACCACACATGTGGGCATGCAGGTACACAGGTGCTCACGTGCAGCCACCCATGGCGCGCACACACACACACACACACACACACACACACAGATGCTCTCCCAGTTACTGTCGGCATCCATGCACTCAAACGCCTGCCCACACACACCACACTGTGCCCATTCTGGGATCAGGAAGGAGGGCCCTGGTCAGAGACACAGCCCAGCCAGGTCACCTGCATCTGGCACCTGATAGGGAAGTTCCAGGTGTGGCTGTGATCTCAGGGGGTTGAGGGGGGCTGGGCCCACCCTGGTAGGTGAGCTCTGCCCAGGCATTCAACAGCCACCTTGCCCACCTGGCCCCGGACCCCAGGCCAAACAGGGGTTGGCATTGGAGATGGGAGGCATGAGTGCAGGAGAGAGGCCATGTCAGCTCTGCTGGCACTATGTGCCTGCTGCCACAGCAGAGGAAGTAGGCTGTCTGGCCAGGCTCACATGGATTGGGGGTCCTGTCAATTACTCTGACCCCTACAGCGTCCATGCCTGGGGGGAGTGGAGTTGCTGGGCTCTGAGGACTGGGAGATAGGCAGGGGCGGACTGTTCACTTCCCAAAGCCTGGGCCCCGGGGAGAGGCCCGTCTGTCCGAGGCGTTTCCGGATGCTTACTTCCTCTGGGCTGCCCAGGAAGTGGTTTCGGAGTGGGACTGACCAGTCCTCCGTCCGCGGCTTTATGCCTTGCTCCGCCCCTGCCTTGCCCGCCCAGGGGAGCAGCGTCTGGCCACTGGGTTAGGCCGACTGACCAGGCTTTTCACTGCCCAGGCCTTTTGGGGAGCTCTAGGAGAAGGGCAGGGGGCAGGCCACGAAGTCCCCTGCAGTCCCCACAACCATGGCTCCTTTCTTGCTCTGAGCCTGTAAGCCGAGGCTCGAGAGCATCAGTTCTGGTAGGCACAGCCCCCTTGAGAGTGGCGAAGGCTGGGCTGCATCTCAGTGACTAGGTAGCTCCCAGCAGCTCTGTGAATGAGCCTGGGCAAGTGTCTTTGCTGCTCAGTGCCTCAGTTTCCCCTCTGATAAATGAGATAATGATGGTATCTACCTTGATGAGGTTGTGTGGAAATGACAGATAACATATGCAAAGTAGCTAGCTTTGTGCTTAGCACACTGTTAGCGTTTAATGAGTAGAAAGTGTAGTTATGTAAAGCATTTAGTGCCCAGTTCATGGTAACTATTCAAAAAATAGCAAGTGGGACTGATGAGTGGGTATGATTATCTGATGGGCTGGGCTCTGGGCCAGGGTTACAGGCCAGGTGGCTATGGAGCCTGGCTGAGGAGCCAGGTCTCGGACTCCCTCATCCCCCTCAATTCTGCCTCCAGTGGCAGCGCCCTGCTGGTTCAATAGGTTCCAGGTCCTTGGAGGAGAGGAGCTCCTGGTGGAGCAATTCCGCCCCCTCAGCAGTCCATTCCCTGCCTGCTCTTCTCTCCCTCACTCACTTTCAAAGGGAGAAAAATAGATCTCATGACAAATGGATGCAGGGAGGGGAAAGGCAGTCTGCAGCCGCCTGCTGCCCCCGCAGGGCTCCCCTTGGCCCTCCCCAGCTCTGGCCTCCTGCAGGACACTAGGCTGGGAGAATTGGCTGGGAATGAGGGGGTGGATGTAAGCCCTCCTGCCAGCCTGCTTACCCTTCAGACCCCCAGAGTCAGCGTTTGGGCTGGGGCAGGGAGTGGGCATCTGGGGCCGATGGAGTCCAGAAGAGTCAGGGGAGCTAGAAAACCCCCTACACACGTGGCAGCTGGGGGCTGGGCTGAGCATTGGCCTTCACTGTGTGGGGCCCAGAGGCTGGGGGTGAGGAGTGTTGAGGAGTGGTAAGGACCCTGATGCGAGCAGTAGGGGCCTGAGGGCTGGAGAGCAAAGCTGGATGGGCCTGGGCAGGGAGGGCGGGTGGGGGCATCCTGAAGGCTTACGAGCAGGACTTCTGCGGACATCGGTCAGACCCCAGTTGAATCCTTGCTCAATATTTACTGCCTGTGCACTTGCCTCATCTGTGAAATGGGCAGATCAGGGGTGTCCTGTGAGACTTGAATGATGGGAAGGAGCCACTGTGTGGGGTGGGGTGGGGTGGGGCAGGAAGATGGAACAGCAAGCCCAGAGGCTCCTAAGAGGGAAGGAACTGGCTGTTCTGGGAACTGAAAGAGGTCAGTGTAGCCGGGACAGCCGAGCAGGAGGTCAGGGAGGTAATGGGGGAGGGGCAGGCTGCATGGAGCAGGCTGAGGGGAGGAGTCTGGGCTTGTTAGAGGGGCAATGGGAGGTGCTGGGGACTTGGGCAGGTGTGACAAAAATCTGTCTGAAAATCCCCGTCTGGTGGCTGGGGCAGGGGGGCCGTGGGGGCTAGGGCAGAGGACAGAGAGCAGTCAGAAGGCAGGTGCAGAGCCTGGGGACAGTGATGGTAGGAGAAGAGAGGGCTCGAGACTTGAGGACAGGCTGGAGAGGCAGACGCATGGCGTTATGTGTGGGGAGCAGGGGAGCGCTGGGAGGGGAACGCAGGGCCTGGTGTGGGCAGGCTTGAGCTCTTCTGGAATCATTCATGTGGTGAAGCCAGGGAGGCAGGTGGGGCCATGAGTCTGAAGTTCAGGAGGGTCTGGGCCCAAAGTAGAGATAGGGAGCCTAAAGCCAGGATTGGGGAGGAGAGGGCTCAACAGGCCTTCTGTCTTCTGAGGGGTGGGAGAGCGTTTGAGAGGCCCCAGGGACAGGACTGGGTTAGCTGTCTCTCAGAGGTCCCTGCCCAGGCACCCAGGAGGCAGGCTTGTGGTGGCTGAGCCGCTGTTTTCACAACAGCTCCGGAAGCTTTGGATCATGTCTTCGGCCGTGTTGGGTAAACAGGCTGAGGGGAGCAGACAGTTGCCATGGCCTGAGGCTGGATCAGATATCTGCATGGTGTAGCTGTGGGCTGGGGTTGTTCGCACAGGAGGATCTCAGGGTCCTCCAGTGTCAGGACTGGAGAAAGCTTAGAGGTCTCCGTTGTTGAGACAGGGAGGCTGGAGCCTCAGGAGGGGCAGCAGCTGGCCAGCCTCTGCCAGTGGATTCATGCTGCCTATCTCAGTCTAGTTCTCCCCAGAGCCCCAGGCCAGAACAGGGCACCCCACGGCTGGGGGTGCTTAACGGAGCCTCTTTTCCCACTGATCCAAGGAGGTCTGGAAGACACCAGGGCAGTCAGGCCAAGTCCAAGGAGCATCCGAGCAGCAGATCTGAGCTAGACCTGTCTAGGCCCAAGCGCTCTGGTTCCTCTGTCCGCTGCCTGCTGTGGGATGGCACAGCATGTGGAATGGTCCTGCCTCTCTCTCAGCTTTCTCAAGATCCCCAAAGTACGGAGGCATCATGTGGGCCCTGCCCAGATCCTGGGTATGGCTGGCAGAAGGCTTAGGTGGCCATCTTACCTTTTCCCAAACACAAAATGATTGTTTCCAATGGTAAACAATTGGGAAAATCGTGGGGACTCTGTGGGAGAGAGAAGGTCTAAGGAGTAGGACTCTTGTACTGGGGGCTGATGGAGGAGTTTTTCACCTCCAAACACCACCCCACCCCGCCCTGCTGAAGGCCAGATGGGCAGTTCTAGGACTAGAGCTGGAGGCTTTCTCCCCACTTCCCCCTGGGTCTGCCCCATTGGCTTTGTGGCTTTGGTTGAATTGCTCAACCTCTTTCGGTTTCTGCACAGTGAGCCTGGAGCTCATGGAGCTTACGCTTGGGGTGCCTGGCCTGCTGCCCCCACCAGCACAGGTTCAAGCCCTCCCCCCACCGTGCACCAGGCCTGTGACTGCCACCTGTGACCCTCAACCTCCACCACAGCCTCAGGGCACTGCAG